GAGGAGGAGGAGGAGGAGGAGGAGGAGGAGGAGGAGAGGAGGTGGCGGACGAGGAGGAGGAGGAGGAGGCGGAGGAGGAGGCGGAGGAGGAGGAGGAGGAGGAGGAGGAAGAGGAGGAGGAGGCGGAGGAAAGAGGAGGAAAGAGGAGGAAAGAGGAGGAAGGGGAGGAGGGAGGAGGAGGAGGAGGAGCCAGGCCAGGCCAGGCCAGGCCAAGCTGGGCGGCCGCCCCTCGGCGGGTCGGCTGGTGGAGCGGGTCGTGAGCCCAGGCCGCCGCCTGCTCCGGGTGCCAGTGGCCCGCCGAGCCAGGGGCCGACCGAGCCCAGGCGCCGCCGCAACACCGAGCCAGTGCTGCCTCCAGGTGTGGCTGGGGCGGCGCCGGGGCCTGGAGGCCGCCCCCCTGGTGGGGAGCGGCAGCGGCCATGGCCCAGCCAGACCGCCGCCCCAGGGGGCGGGAGGGCAGTGTCCTGGGGGACGATCTGGTGGCGTAGATCCCTACTGGTTTGTCGACGTTTCGCCAATCGACTTGTAGGGGTCGGGCCAGGTAGAGCGGGATAAATCCGGGTAGCCCCAGAGATCTGCAGGGAAAGTTGGAGCAACTCGCGGCCGTTCCAGCGCGAGTCGAAGGACGGCAGAAGTCGTTAAGCCTTTCACGAATCTGGGGGTTGGCAAGCGTGGATCCCCGACAGGGCGTTGGGCTGGACCCGCCTGTTGAAGCCCCCTCCCGCTGCGGGCGGCCCCCCGCCCCAGGCTCAGGTGGGCAACTGGAGCTGCATGCGCTGGGCCTGGGAGCTCCACGGATTCAGGGGAGGTTCAGTTCACCGAGCCGACCGTGAACGCTCGGCACCGACTGGGGCTGAATGGGGCAGGCGGTGGACGGGCTCGGTGTTTCGATTTTGGTCCACTGGTGGAGCACTAGTATGTGCTACCTGATGATGGCGGTGATAATTGTCCTCCTCGGGACGCAGGCGTACTGCGTCAACACCCTGATGGTGCCTGCCATTTGGCTAGGTCGAGGCTTAAGCTGGCCTGACGCCAGCTCGCGCAGTGCTGCGGGCGAGCGCCTTTGGCCCGCCGCGCACCTCACCCCCCACCGCCGCCCCTGCACGACCGTTGGCGACGACCGGGGGCCGGCGGGGAGTTACAAGAAGCTAAGCCGGTCATTGCAGGAAGTGCGCGCGAGGCCGCGGCGCCGGGCGGCAGCCCAGCCACATACTGCTGCGTAAGAACGGACACGTGGCCCGTGCGAGGTGCGATTTTGCCAACAAGCCCCAGCTGGATCTGCACGAGGTAACTGTTGGGCTGGGCCAGGTGATTATCTGCGCTAGTTGGCAGTGGCGGCAAGACCCCACGGCGCCGGGCAGGGTGCGCGCTGCGTCGCGCGCTAGGGTGGTCCTGCGCCCATCCCGTGCACGTCGACCAGTGCGCGGCGATCGACCACATCCAGATCGTCCATATTGCGGAGCACGCCTGGGCGACGCCCACCTGTATCGCGCGGGTCGGTTTCTGCAAGGCTCTCGGGGAGGGTCGCCGTGCCTCTGGCGCGCGATTTGGGGCCCATTCCCGCGCTGTTGCCGTGTGCAGCCCGAGCGCTTCGTCGCGACGGTCTGCGGCCACTGGCCCCCGAGTCCGAGAGCGAGCCCGACGACGAGGAGCGGCCTTGCCTCGCCATCGCGGCGGGGGCTCGGCTGGCAAACGGGGGCCCGCCCCCTTCAGCAGGAGGGGTGCTGCAACTGGGGGCTGGCCGAGCCGGCCGCGCTGCTCGACAAAAACGCCCTCGTGCACGACGTCGACCCGCTCTCCGAGCAGATGCCGTCGCGCATATGTCAGGAGGAAAAGAAACACACAGACACAATTAATCCTCGATTCCCCAGAAACTATGGGAAAATATGGGAAGTGGGGGGGAAGACAGAAACCCAGAAAATATAGGAAAATATGGGGAATCTGTTTATTTGTGTGTATTTATTTGTGTGTCCTGGGGCCCCTTCAATATGCCTGTGCATCCACCGCGCGCAGATGCGACGGCCTGCTCAGGCGAGACGGAAGTGCAGCTTGGCGACCTGCTGCCGCATGGCCACGGGATCTAGCGGCGGGGCCCCCGTGCGCAGACGCCGCAGCAGCGCCGGCTCGGCCAGGGGGCGGTCGGCCCGACGAATTACCCGGGCCTCCACGGGCGGGCTCCGACACCGCGCGCGGAGTCCCGGGCGCGCCTGGACGGCCCAGGCTCGCGAGGGGGTCGCGCCAGGGGGGATGGCACCGCGCCAGCCCGGCCTGCGGGCACCCTGGCCACAACTACAGGGGCCACGCTTGCGCGGTGGCGAGGTGGGAACGCCAGCCGCGGGCCACGCTGAAGACGGGTTGGATCACCTTTCGGCCCACGCGTCCCCGGCACGCAGAGCGGAGCTTCAAGTGGCTGTATGCCGAATGGGGCTTGCTGCATTGGCAAGGATGGCGGAGCATTGCAAGGCTTTGAATAGGGCCTAGAATGTTCGCACGACTTCGTCCCCATGTTCTCATTTAACGTCTTGCTCACCCTCCCCCTCTCCATGTTCACGTTCCTCCAGGTTCTAGCTATCGCTCAGTTGTTCCTGATGTGCAACGCAATCCGTCCAGGGACGCCCGTCTTGGGAGGCGTGGGCGCTGGCGCACCCAGCCGAATAGCTGCTAACCCTGCGGCGGGCTGGGAAGGGCAGGCCAGGCCCGCCGACCCCGGCGCGGGAGACCGCGGGGTCGACCTCAGCCCAGACCCCCCGCAAAAAAGAGGCCCCTGAAGGGGCCCTTTCGCGCCCCGAAAGGGGGCTTTCCGGGCCCGACAAAGTAGGGGGCGACCTCCCCCCCCCCTTCTTTTATAGCCCACCCACGATTTCACGCTCAGCCCCATCCCGGTTTGCCCCGCGCGGGGCGCAAGCGCTTGCCAGGAGAGCTCGCCCGGGAACCGCCCCACGCCGCGGGCACGCGGACCTGCGCGTGGCCTGGCCGCGGGCCCCCGGGCCGGCGGGGGGCATCCTGGGCCTTGCGGCGGAGGGCGGCCGCCGAGATGGCACCCGCGGAGGACAACCCGTGGATTACAGCAGCACCAGCCAACACTTGCATAAACTCGCCCACCACCACCACAAGCTGCCGCCGTCACCGCTGTCGCCCAGTTGTCAGTTCGACCACCCCTCGTTTCGGTATGCCCCCCCCACACCACATATGATAAATGAGGTATGGCTTATCACAGGACATGTAACGTAATCATCTTTCTCGTCTGCTTCACATCGCGTCGAGTTCACTACGTGCCCTTACAGGCTGACCTTTGCCAGCTCCTCACTGCCATACTCAAAATCCCTTCTTAATTGTCTCCCGGGTCCGGTTTTTTTTGTGCCTTTTTTGTAATTGGGTGGGCCCAGTTTATTAGGGCGTTTTCTTTGGATTGGAGCTTAGGGGGTCTGGTTTATGAAGGCGCCCCGTTGAAGAGGGGGGTCCGGAACATTAGGTCGCATTTGGAGGGGACTCCGGTTTGTTAGGGGGGATCGATTAATAAGGGGTTTGGAGTACTTGCGTGCTGTTGCACTGAGGCCACCTCGCCCAAGTCGGTGCCTTTCCAATGCTGTATCGCCGCAGCGATGCCGCGGTCCCAGGCCAACCCTGGTCCGAGCAGCCTCCTAGATCAGGAGGGGAAAAACCACACAGACACAACTAATCGTCGACTCCCAGGAAAATATGGGAAAATATAGGAAGTGGGGGGGAAGACGAAAATCCAGAAAACATGGAAACCTATGGGGGATCCTCGGATTTGTGTGCATTTATTTGAGTGTGTGTGTGTGTGTGTGTGTGTGTGTGTGTGGCCTTGGGCCCCTTGAGAAGAGGAGGAACAGGAGGAGCTGCAGCAGCAGGCGAAGTATATGAGCCGCAGGCGTTGTGTCTTAGCCTGCTGGCCGAGTGGCCCGGCGGGGGGGCGCGCGCAGCTCGTGTCGGCTTGCGACCGCCCGAGGTGCGCAGAGGACAGGAAAGGAGGAGGAGGAGGCGGAGGAGGAGGCGGGGGGCGCGGGAGGAGGGGGAGGAGGAGGAGGAGGGTTGCCGGCAGCGCCCACCGTGGTGCCAATACTGGCAGATCGCAGATCGCAGGAGGAGAGGAGAGAGAGAGAGAGAGAGGAGGAGGAGGAGGATAGGAGGCGGAGGAGGAGGAGGAAGAGGAGGAGGAGGTGAAGGTGGTGGAGGAGGAGGAAGAGGAGGAGGAGGTCCAGGGATGAGCAGGAAAGAGAGAGAGAGAGAGAAAACAAACAAACAAACAAATGAAGGAAAGGGCAAGAGAGCGGCAGTGAGAGAGGGGGAGAGGGAAAGAGAAAGAGTGAGACAGAGAGAGAGAGAGCGAGAGAACAAGAGAGGGAGAGAGGATAGTAGTTTGAGAAGATAAGCAAAGAGAAGAGACAACAGTTTAACTTCATAACAGTAAAGCGAAGAAGGGGGGAAGGAGGAGGAGGAGGAGGAGGAGGAGGAGAAGGAGCAGGAGGAGGAGGAGGAGGAGCAGGAGGAGGACGAGGAGGAGGAGCTCGTGGGTCGGTCCCGCAGGGAGGTATCACCGTCGGGCAAGCTCAGCCCGTCCTGCCCACGGTGCGCTCTCCAGTGGAGAGGCCCATCACAGCTGCTCTGCAGCGAGCGTCCCCCGAAGCTGGACGTTCGAGGCCGCAGCGACGCGCGAGAGGAGGAGTCCAGGGCCCCAGACCCCCGACGTCATGATTTTTTCATGACGCGACCCTCCTCCTCCTCCTCCTCCTCCTCCTCCTCCTCCCCTCCTCCTCCTCCTCCTCCTCCTCCTCCTCCTCCTCCTCCTCCTCCCCCCAGAGGTCAGATTCCCCGGGACCCGTTTCCCCTCCCGAGTCGCTTGTCGAGGCTCCGGAAGGGCCCCCATGGAGGCCGAACGCAGCGAGCAGAGCCTCCCGGCGCGACCCCTTCGCGGCGCGAGGGGGGTCCGGGGAGGACAAAGCGGAGGCGGAGGCCCCGGGAGGGCGGCGCGGCGCGAGGTGAGCCCCCCCTCGGCCGGCGGGTGCCCGACCTGTACGACGACCCCTTCGAGCCGCCGCCGCAGGAAGCCGCCCCGCGCCTCTTCCGGCCGCCCCGTCGGGCGGGGCCGGGCCCTCCTCGCGTCGGTTCTCGGGGGGGTCCCTGAGGTCCTGGCGTCCCCCAAAAAACACGCCAGGAGGCTTCTCGCTCTTTTCGGCCTCTGGGGGCCCTCGCCGGGCCTGGGGACCGTCAAAAAACCGGCTCGGGATGAAAAGCCGGTCCCGGGGCATGGGTCCGGCCCTCTGGGGGTCGCGTCATGCAAAAATCATGACGTCGGGGGTTTGGGGCTACAGTTGTGTCACCCCGGGCGGTTTCGCTCCGTTTCGGGCCCCCGGGCCTTCACATAGATCGATCCGGCTCCAAAGATGGCGCAGAGAGATGGGGTCCAGGGCTCCAGTGGTGGTGTTTCGTGCTTCTGCATTTGTTGTTGCAACGTCGGATCTCTGGGAAGGTAACCATACAATTACCCTTCCCTCGTTTTCCCCCTTTTGGGCCTCCTCGGCGGCCCTCGTCGCCACCGCTGAATTCGCCTCGAGACTATGGTCAGAGCGCACCCCAGGAGAGGTCCGGGGAATAGCGGTATCGATACCTTGTGGTCCCCCCTCATGGACAGAGCGACCGTTCACCAGGACGACCTCTGGTGCGGACCCACTAGGGTCCCCCGATCGCCGAACGCGATGCAACAGAAGCGTCTTGCGCGCTGGGGTACGCGGGCGCGGCCGCAAAAAATCTTCGCAAGAAACCCAACCCTGAAAACCCGCGCGCAAGGCGCACCTGCTTCTGCAACGGCTGCAGGAAGTCACTGTGCAGCTCGCGGAGCGAAGACACCCAGGGTAGCCTGGCGCAAAGCATATGGTTTCTTGCTGCGCGCCCCCACTGTATTTCTTCCCGCAGCCCTCCCAAAGTCTCGCTCCAAAGGTCACTCTTGCATTGTAGCCGATCCCGAGTGCTCTTAAGTCACGACGGGCGGATGTTGCTCGTCCTGCTTACGGGGGGCCCCATACCGGGCCCGGGGTCCGTCAACAAAAACGACCCTGGATGAGGATGAGAAGCCAGTCCCGGGCAAGAGGCGCAGATCTCTAGAGTTCAGTCGGGCCTGTAGGAGGACATGCCCGACCTAAACCCAGGATGAGAAATCAGTCCCGGGCAAGGGGCGCAGATCTCCAGAGACCCAGGCCCCCGACGTCATGATTTTCTCATCAGCGTCGACCCCCAGAGGTCTGGACCCCTTCCCCGGGACCAGTTTGTCATCCTGAGTCGTTTTTTGACTGCTCCGAGGGCCGGCAATGGCCCCCAGAGGCCGAAAGTGGCGAAACATTTCCCGCCGTGCTTGTTTCATGACTCGAGGGGGTCTGGGGAGCCACGTTGCCAAAAACAGGAGTCGTCGAACGCCTGCGGTTTTCTGACGTCCTCGGCTTGCTGAGGTTTTCTGGCCGTTGGAATGCTTTTTCCAGCAGCTTTAAGTCGGGTCTGTCCCTCTACAGGAGGAATATTCAAAAAAAATAAGGTGTATACATATACATATATATATATATATATATATATATATATCGTAGTTTTGGCAACTGAATGCTAAGCGCTGGCGCCAGGGTGGACGTACTCGCATCTTGGCTCAAAGTTTTTGGGGCACCCCGCGCCAGCCTCACCTGCTTGCGGCCCTCGGCGCGGTGGTGCCAGAGCTCAGCCGCGGGGTGGGCACTGGGATCGCTCTCTGGGCGGCGCGTGGTCCGCCTGCCGCCTGCTGCTGCGAGCCCACCTCCACCTGCTCTGACGTGCACCGCGACTGCTCGGGCTTGCGGGGCGACTCCTTGCACGGTCCGTCGGGCGTGGTCCTGCTGCTCGGGGGTCTGTGCTTCCTGGGCGTCGGCGCAGCTGCTGGCACGGCAGGTGCCATTCTGGTCCTGCGACGGCGGAGCTCGCCCTGTACGGCATTGGAGGGCGACGACACGGGTGACTTGCTCGGTGAGGAGGCGCGCGCGCAGGTGAAGACCCTGCGGCATCGGGCCCTTGCCCACTTGTGATGGCGGCACCCGTTGCCCCCGTGCACGCCTCGATGGCGGCCGCAGGCGCTCAGGTCGGATGCTTCCTCGGAGTGGCCCACCACATCGGCGGTCGCGATTTGGTGCACGAGCGGGTGGTCGACACGCTCAACCCAGCGACGGCAGACTCCGCGTCGACCGTCACCGTGGACGGGGACGAGTATGAGGAGCAGTTCGTGGGGAGCGCCGACGTCCGCTACTGGGGCCTTCTGCCCAATGGAGCTCTTGGGGATGATCTCGCGTGGGTGCCGGCGGCTCGGTACTACCGTCTCAGGGCGATTCCATCTTCGGCTGCATTGACCGAGGCTGCTCGGCGGGCCTGCGCTCGCCTCGGCCTCGCGGCGCCCGTGGAGGCCGTGGTGCCCAATGTCGGTGGCCGCGCGGCCGCGCCAGCTGCTGCCTGCGCAGCGGCCGCCCCCGCGCCCTGGGCGCCCCCAGCAGCTCCAGTCGCCGGGGGGCTCGGCGCCCTGGTGGCGGCGCTTGGCGGCCCGGCTGGGGCGGCCCCAGCTGGCGTGGGTGCCCTTGCCGCCGCCGCGCCTGCCGCTGGAGGAGGGCTCGCGCACCGCGCTGTCCCAGCGGTGCCCACCCCTGCACCAGCGGCTGCTGCGGCGCCCGGCGTCCAAGGCGCGGCGCTGGTGGCTGACGGAGTGGCGGGACCAGCGGGAGGAGCGGAGCCAGCCCCATTCGCGCCTGGTGGCGACGTGCGCGCGCTGTGGCGGTGACGCGGGATGCTAGAGGCATCGGGCACGCGGACTTCCGCGCACCGGTGGCGACGATGGTCGAGTTCCCTTGGGCGGATTGTCCCGTGCGCGGGCCTCGCACTCGTCTGTGGGCGCTGCAGTACATGGCACTTCGCGCAGGGCCTCCTACCGCACACCATCAGAGATGGTTGTCGGAGACGGGGCTGGAGCTGGAGGCGCCTGGCGTCGAGATGAATAACATCGCCTGCATGGTGCTGGAGACGCCTGTCACCTACGACCAGGAGCACGGCACCCACCTGGCGCATCTGGTGCGGGTGGCCCTTGCCATTCAGGTGCAGGAGGAGCGCTACCGGCACTTGGTCGCCCCGAGCGAGACGGGCGCGGCCGACCGCGCGGTCATGATGGGCTCGCTGGAGCTCGACGGCTCGGCGCGTGTCTGCCTGGCCCTGCGGGGCCACCTCGCGCTGGAGTCGCAGCGGGAGATGGCAGTGGCCAAGGAGAGGCGCACGGCGCGCGAGGAGCGCGCCCTCGCCGGCGGCGGCGGTGGCCGAGCTGACGGCGACGGGCGCGGACGAAGGGGGCGGGGGAACCGCGGCGGCCGGGGCGGCGGCGCCGATGCCGCAGGCGGATATGGATGATGGTTCCCAGGGCGGTCGGCCTCGCCAGCCCCCGCCCACGCCCCTTTGGCCCCGCGCGGGCGTCAACAGCGCGCCCCGCGCTGACGGCGGCTGCGGCTCAGCTTCCACCGGCGGGCCGCGGCAGAGGGACATCTTCTCACTGCCACAGCTCGCCCCTGCTGATGTGGCGCCAGGTCCGTCATCAACTCGTCGGCGAGTGCGCGCCGGCCACGCCTTGGAGCATTCGCTGGGCCGCGCCAACGCTGCTGTGCATGCCCTGACGGCGACCAGTCCTCGCCCTCGCCTTCGGCTCCGTCGGCTGGGCAGCGCTCTGCCGCTGGTCACATCTGGGGCTCCATCGTCGCTCTTGGACCAGAGCCTGATGAGTATCGCGACGACATCTCAGACACCAACGGGGCCCTTCGGGAGCTCCTTGCCGGGTCCACGTTGTACCCTGACAACAGTGGGCCCACCACTCCCTACGTGCCAGACCTCGTCTCCTGGCCTCGTGTCTCGCAGCCGCCGGCGCCGCTCCTTGGGCTGCTGGACGAGCGGGGCTCCGCCGCGCTGCGGGAGTGGAGGCGCCACATGCTTCGAGATTCTGAGAAGGCGCGTCAGCCACGCGGGGGGGCCTGTCCGCAGGGCCCGTAAACGGACCCCGCGCTGCTCCGGTCGCCAGTTGACTACGCCTCATTCCTCGGCGCGATGGTCGAGCGCCGCATGCTGGTCTTCTCTCCCGCGCATGGACGTCGGGGCAACATGGGGATTTTCTTTGCACCAAAGAAGAGCGGGCGCCTTCGTGTGACATTCGATGCCCGCCTGGCCAACTGCGCCTTCACCGACGCCCCGAGGACTCAGCTGCCTTCAGCATCAGCCTGGGGGCGCCTCGAGACGGGTGGCACGCGCATCTCCGCTGCCTCGGCCGACCTCGACGTGGCGTTCTACCACGTGCAGGTGCCGGAGGGAATGGAGGAGTATTTCACGCTTCCGCCAATCGCTGCGAAGTACCTGGCGCCCCTGGGCATCACGGTCGCAGGCATGACTGGCGAGGACCTCGTGCTTCCCCGGGCGGTGGTGCTCCCCATGGGCTTCAGCTGGGCCATGCACCTGTGCCAGACGGTGCTCCAGACGTCGCTGTGCCGCGCTGGCTTCTCGCCGGAAGACCTGGTCTTGGGCGGCCACTGCGGCTGTCAGCTCTCTGGCGATCCAGCTTCGGTCGCGGGGGCCGGCTCCTCGGCGGCTCCGCGAAGCAGGTGGGCCAACGGCTGCAGGTGGTGACTGACGACCTGGTCCGGCATGGGCTCGCGGTGCACGAGCTTGAGGCGCCCTCCCAGGACCGCGACTTCCTGGGGCTGTCGCTGCGCGAGGGGCGCTGGCTCAGCCTGCGGACTCGCAACATCTGGAGGCTCCGCGCGGCGATCCGCGCCGCCACCCGGAGGCAAGCCATCAGCGGCTTTCTCCTGCGGGTGCTCGCGGGGCACATCACCTGGGCGTTGCTGCTGCGACGTGAGCTGCTGTGCATCCTCAACTCTACCTATGCGTGCACTCAGGCGACGGGGGCAATCGCTGCCCCGCTCTGGCCGTCAGTCCGCCGCGAGCTCCTTCTTGTGCACGATCTGCTGCCTCTATGCACGGCCGACCTGGCTGCTCCATGGCACGAGCGAATTG